GCCAACACTATAAATCAGTACTTATATACTTTTAAATGGTTTTTTTTCATCAATAGGAAAGAATACGTAGCTGCCTTTGTGAACTACGTCTTCAACAAATCAGTGGAGAGAGTGTTTGACGAGTTCAAGAGAGGGTTTTTCAAAGTGTGCAACATGGACGTGGTGGACTTCTTCCAGCCAGAGGAGCTGCAAGCAGTGATGGTGGGCCAAGAAAACTACGACTGGGAGGTGTTCAAGAAGGTAAAGAGATATAAACTTGAAGAGATCCAATATTGATGCTAAGATTTTTATTCATAATCTGATTTGTTTTGTTTTTTAATTCACCATATTCTGAATGAGTAATTTTCCTTGCCAATGCAGGATAGTTTAGCACGCTATGCTATGAATTCCCTAAAACACCTGAACCATATGTGTCACCATAGTTCAGTTTGACCAAAAGAATACAAAAAGAATAGCTGACTGTGTGCACACTTGCAACGTAACATAAATCAGGAATTAAATTTAAAGCTTGCACTCTGCTTATGAAATTAGCAGTGACACCACTGACACCTAGTCTGGTGCCAGTGGGATTAAAAAAATGTAAATGATACACATATTTCATATATGTCCTTATTTTTATGTTCCCAAACAGAACACATTTTATGAAGGCGAATACCATGATGAGCATCCAAATATAGTGGTGTTCTGGGAGGTGTTTGAGAGCCTGAAAGCAGAGGAAAAGAAAAAGTTCCTTTGTAAGTATTTCATCATTAGGCTTGCTGTCATTTCCATTTACGTCTATCAGTTTTGGCTTACTTGACATGTGTTTCTTGATGTCCTGCCAAAAATTTGTGTAACATTTCAGATTCCATTTTTCACTTATCCTCTGTTATTTTCTTTCGTCCTCAGTGTTTCTCACAGGCAGTGATCGCGTACCCTTCCTGGGAATGGAGAGCATCAAGATGACAGTGGCTGTGCTGCCCGATGCTTCTGAACGCCATTTGCCTGAATCGCTTACCTGCCATTTCCTGTTGTTACTGCCCATCTACAGGAGATACCCAGTCGAGAGGACGATGCGCACAAGGCTTCTCCAGGCTATCAATCACAACAGAGGTTTCCGGAAGAAGTGACGCACCACAGAGTGAAGCAGCAGGGGTTTCGTTGTAAAGAGCCCATCTTAGCATCGGTTATTTTTCGGCTCTTCTTGCTTTACAATCTGTGCTATTAATTTTGAGTGATATTTTTTATTGTTATTACAATTTATTTTTTTTGTGCTTTTAAAATGAACACAAGCTTAAATCTTCAATAAATACAGTGCTTAGCAAATTTCTTACACCGCCCAGTTTATGGATTAAACCACAGTATTGGTAATTAATAAAATAACGTTTTAATGGTTCTGTAGTGGTTAATCCACCACTGTGCACAAGCTCTCAAAATGATGATTTGTAATGCTACAAAATAACCATTGTTATCTGTGAATTTTCAGATTCAGTTTTGCAAATAAGCGTGTCAGATTTGTTATTTTATTTATTTTATTTAGTTTCAGGGGTTGAATTGTATCCTCAGAGAAGTCCTGTGTGCCCACTCAAATGTGGGTAAAAAAACATGAACCCACTTTGTTGTCTGCCTAAGAAATAACAGTATAACGTTTAGTTGTAAACAAGTTTTTGACAGATTTCTATAATATTTGTGTAAGAAATTTGTTAAACACTTCATGTCATACCTACTTAGAACATACTTAGATAAGGAAATCACCTTTTCTTGCATTTGTACCTAGTAAATCATCTTAATAAATTCTCTGCTATGCTGCCTAGTATTTTATTATTTTTGTATTATTACCACTTCTCTGGAGATGAGTTACACTCTGACACAACTCAGGACACTACCTCTGCTCAATAATGAGACACAATAACAGTACCTTCATTACAGTCAATATATATGGTTACAATAATAAAACTGAAAATGATAAATTACTTGACTCCTTGGAGGAAAGAATTATCTTCTGGCTCTCCAAATACACAAACTCAATCCTCTTCATTGGTGGAGACTTTAACATCGCTTTAGGTAATATGGTTGATAGATGGCCTCCAGGGCAGCAGTCTTCATACAGTACAAACTTTACAAATTTCATGGGGAAATGTAATGTTGTGGATATTTGGAGAGAAAAATTTCCAGATGATAGACTCTTTACTTGGCGCAACAGGATCCAGGATCCTGTTGCAGGAGCAATTCACATTAACATCCAAATGCTTACACTGGATAATATACCTTACAAATTCTCCTATTTGAAGTTAAATAATTCCTTACTAAAGGATTCTTGAGAAGATATGGGAGTCAAATGACTAAATTGAGGAAGAAGTGATCAGCAAACCTCAGAGGAAGATTTTACTAGACCTTCAAAATAGATTGGACGGTTTATACCGACGCAAGGCTGCGGGTGCTTTTGTAAGATCCAGGAAGAGGTGGCTGGAGGAGGGAGAACAAAATTCTGCTTCCTTTTTCAGGCTTGAAAAACATCAAAAACAAACTCTATTCATCAACTAAATATTAATGGCATTGTCTCCTAGGCAAATTTTTGTGCCAAATTCTATGCTAAACTGTACAACTCAAAATATGATGAGGACGTTTCAACACTATTTCTCAATAATATTAAAAACCTAAAAACTATTGATGTGGACGATAGGAGTCATTGTGACAGCCCTCTGATGGTGGAGGAAGTTTCTAATTCCATTTCTGCACTTAAGGCCAATAAATCTCCCGGCACAGAGGGTTTAACTGCAGAGTTTTACAAATCATTTTCTAATCTCCTGCTCCGTT